ATTATAGATTATTACTATTATTACTACTTATTATTACTTATATTACTATTATTATTTATTATTATTATATTTTATTACTATTATTATACATATAGGCAACATTTAATATTTTATATAATTATATTTATATTTTATAATCGATTATTATTATTATTACTACTTATTATTACTAATATCACTATCATTATTTACTATTATTACTTACTATTATTGTTACTCATATTTGATATTTTTATAATCGAAGATTGCAAATCGAGTAACATGTTATTCTATTGTCTGCAGATTAAAAATAATAGGAAAAAGAATAAATCCCTCCAAACGTTTCTTCTTCGCTTCTCTTTGATAATATCCGTAATTTATGCGAGCGTGCAAGCTGAAACTGTAATTGAAGTGAACACGATTTGAAAATAATCAGTTCGTTTTATCATGGAAATTCTAATGTACGAAACAAGATATTCTTGTGCGTCCAATAATTCCAACGTTACAGTTTCTCAGCTGATCGATCCGCCGTCTTTATTTCGTGAAATTTTCTCTATGAAAATATGTATATGAAATACCGCACGAGTTTCATAGTATCCGTATCCGGTACGTAAAACGCATACTAAACAGATGACGAATGGGAAAACTTTCAAAAAATCTGTTATTCCGGTCCGGTACGTTCATACCTTGCGAAATGATCGAATGAAAAGTTCCACCAGCATTTTACATACAACTTCCGTAACTACGATATTTGATACCTGCATACAAATATCAGTGTAATTCTGGACAAAACGTACGATACAAGTATAAACATCTATGAAAAAGTTGTAACAACGTTGTTAGAACATTTATTTGAAGAATTTTTCAACCTTTGCAGTTTCTTTGCAGTTTCATAATCATAATAATATACATTTTAATTAATATACATTTTTGGGACACCCTGTAGAAGAGAAACAAACACGAGGAGTATTGTCCAAAGATATTCTCCAACAAATGGAACTTTACTTTTAATAATTTTAATCATATTTAAGAGCAAATAATTCGGAAATGATTCTATAAATAAATAATTCCATAAATGAATATATAATTGCTTGTGTTTTCTTGTTTCCCGAACTAAAAATTTAACTTTTGACAACATTGAAGTAAAAAATAAGAGTACATCTTATATTAGAAATACGATAAACAAAATATCACCGACAATCGATGAAAATAAAAATGTAACTAATACGCCTTCGAGTGCATTAGATTTTGTCTTTCAAGAAGTAAATAATGTTTACAACTCAAAACATATCTGTTAGAGCCACAGGTAGAGTTCTAAAAACATAAACCGCATCTTAAAATATCACCTATACAAGGTGTCCCATAATTATGGTATTTCCAAGAAATGTGGGATTCCTGAGATCATTTGAAGTAACTTTTTCCTTTACAAAAATGTTCTCCGAGGCATCGTTAACGAGTTATTAGCGAAAAACGCCGACCAATGAGACGCGAGCTCGGCTAGCGCGAGGCGGCGCAGCGAACGAGCGCGCGAAGCCCAGTTCCGTTCATTGGCTCGGCCGCCACGCGCCAGCTGAGCTCGCTTCTCATTGGTCGGCGTTTTTCGCTAATAACTCGCAAACGAAGCCGCGGATCGCATTTTCGCTGAGGAAAAAGTTGCTTCAAATGACCTCGTGAACCCCTCGGTTCCCGAGAACACAATAATTTTGGGACACCCTGTACATCTGAGCCTTGTATAAATATGTATCATACATTTTGGCACATTTAACGTATTTCTATCGTCTTAGTGTTCGAATCTTCGTTAGGTCTCCGCTAACAGCACCACCGACAAAATAACGACATCGAAAATGACCTTGAAATTTCAGACGCACAGCCGACGTCCGATCAGTGGGATACTCGGAGCTGTTCAGCTTATCCCGCGAGGACGTGCTGGCGGCGATGAAGGACTACCCGGAGGCGCAAGAGATCCTGCAGAACCTCGGCAGGAAACGGCTGATGGAGGCGCAGAAGGTGGCGCGCGCGTCGCGACAGCCAACATCGCCGGGGCACGACTCCTCGGACAACAGCACCGGGAAAAGGATCGTCGACAAGCTGAAGAGCGACGTGAAGGGCCTGAAGAACGTGTTGAGGAAAAGTCGCCGGAACACTAGGCCCGAGGAGAGCCTCGAGCTTCAGCCGCTGACGCCGAAAGCGCCGGCCCTGAAGAGGCAGCAGAAGATCGACGACTGCCAAGAGGCAACGGTGTCGACGGTCCAGGAACCGCCGCCGGTGTCGCCACTCGGAGCCGGCCTGCCTTTGATCTCGCGGCTGAGATTGCTGAAGGAGAAAGAGGAGCGCGAGGAGCGCCGCAACCTGATGGAGACGCAGACGCAGCCGGTGGAGCACCCGCCGCACCCGCCGCTGGTGGAGGCGCAGAACCCGACGAACCCGAATCTGCCGTTCCTCCAGAGAATACTGCTGTTGAAGGCGAAGAACGAGCAGGAGGCGCAGGCGAAAGAGGACAAGGAAGCGCCGACGAAAGAGCCGTTGCTTCCGAAGACCGTGATACCGGAGGAGACGAAGGAGCCGTCGCCGAAGCCAGCCACGAAGCAGCCGCAGAAGCAGCCGCAGAAGCAGCCGCAGAAGCAGCCGCAGAAGCAGCCGTCGAAGCAGGCGTCCCTGGATCAGGCGAACAAACCAGCGGCGGCGGCGGCAGCGGCGGCGGTCTTGAACGCGGAGAAGGCGAACGGCTCGAACGGCTCGAACGCGAAGAAGACCTGGGCGATGCTGAAGGACGCCTCGCTGACGAACAAAGAGAACTCGCCGCAGAGGAGCCCGCCGTCGAAGAGGATGCAGATTAGACAGAGCCTGGTGCATCTCAGGCAGCAGACCAAGATGTACGCGTCCGTCGACGACCTGTCGCCCGAGTACTGCGGCCTGCCGTTCGTCAAGAAGCTGAAGATACTCAACGAGAGGCAGAAGCTGGCCGAGCTCGAGAAGGCCGTCCGAAGTTCCAGCCTCGATTGCGGCGAGAACGCCGAGATCGAGTTCGACGGTAACTTGACGAGGAGCCACTCGGAGGCTTGCGCCATCGAGTACGCGAGGAAATTGAAGAAACTGAATCAGGTACGTGCGCGAAAGTTTCGCCAAGTTTTCCGGCCGTTAGTCGATCGTGAAAAGGAAACGTGGATCCAGTTCCGCGGTAACGATTTCAACGCGGAACTGCTTGTCTCGCGGGACACGATTGCTTGGTAGAAGCGTTGACGTTTGAAACTACATTCCATAATTGTGTTAACATAATTAGGAAGGAATGATTCCTGAGGTCATTCGAAGCAACTTTTTCCTTTGCGAAAATTCAATCCGTGGCTCTGTTTACGAGCTATTAACGAAAAACGCTGACCAATCGGAGAGCGAGTGCGGCCGGCACCTCGCCCTTGCGGCCAATGCCGCGTCGCGCCGCCCAGCTGACGCAGCGGCAGTGGTCGCGAGGGCGGGGCGTCAGCGATCTCTCATTGGTCAGCGTTTTTCGTGAATAACTCGTGAACGGTGCCTCGCAGAAAATTTTTGCAAAAGAAAAAGTTGCTTCAAATGACCTCAGGAATCGACTCTTTCCGGGTGTTAATGTAATTATGGAGTACCCTGTATAATGGGAGGGGAGGGAAAGTGTTGCTGATAAGTAGTGCTAAGGACGCTACCTAAACGTAAAACGCCATCTCGTTGGGGAAACGAGTTTCTGGCTTATTAATCTGTGTTTACGTCGTAATTGGATAGTTTCATAGTTATTGAAATCTTTATTCCACTTTATAAGGAAGTAGCGGACACTTAGGGTTTCACTTAGAGTGATGTAGAAGGCGAAGTGCCAAGTAGCGAGGTTAATAAAAATAAATGGTTCAATGCACAACAGTATAATTATGTACGAAAATGAACAAAATAATTGAAAAAAATGCTTATCGAAATGTGTAAATTTAGACGTCCTTTGGTCACGAGAATTTTATTACATACATATAACACTTTCGAACTTGTGCAATGCGTTGATTTATTATCAATCGCAACGATCGATAATATAAATAATACAAATTATATAAATAATGTTTTCATTATTACGTTTAAAAGCTTGCGCTTCGCGATTAACAATTCGGACGTGTTCCAATTTTCGACATTACAAATACAATAATTTCTCCCGGACTCGCGCCGCTTCAGTATTCTCAGGTTCGCGCTGGGATGTGGCTACGGCCCTGTAATTTATCGATTTTCTCGCTACGCCGATGCTAAGGTTCGACGGAGTCGAGCGCGTGACGAGCGTGTCGGTTGAGCGTGTCACGCGACGAGTTCCCGGAAGACAACTCGTAATACAATGACATAACTTTTTTCGATTTTAACATCTTAAAACTGATTTTTTTTCTAACACATCGCTGACAGTTGTCTGATTAAAATGAGACCAAACATGATATAGTTTGGACAAATATTTCTGATTCAAATAAAATCGAATATTGACGTAATTTCTCTCGATTACATTTGTATACTTTTAATACTCAATGTGTAATTCGTTTGGTTCTACTGTCGCTGTAATTATATAAGTAAAATAAAATTTAACAGTAAAAATTTAACCTTGACATTGTTATACATATATTAATAATAGTCGAATAATAAAAGTCGTTATATCGTTAATAAAAGTCGAATAATAATAACTGTACAACTACACTGAGCATAATTAGATAAGTGCAAAATTATGTCCTACATTAAATTGTTTCGTTGCGTATCATTCTTGGAATTTACTATCGTGGACAAGCTGAAGAAAAATTAGGGAAAATTTATTGTATATGTAGAAAAAATTTCTTGTATATTTTTCAAAATATCTATTCTTTTATTCTTAAACGCCTTTTCAGCTTTGCATAAAAAGGAAAATGAATTTGCAATTCGAACAGGTTGTTCAACACAGTGAAAATAAGTAGGCATTTGTGTGTGCGCGAGCGAGCGTCTCTCTCTCTCTCTCTCTCTCTCTCCCTCTCTGCCTCTCTCTCCCTCTCTCTCTCCCTCTCTCTCTCCCTCTCACTCCCTCTCTCTCTCCCTCTCTCCCTCCCTCTTTCTCCCCCTCTCTCTCCCCCTCTCGCTCCCTCTCTCTCTCGCTCTCTCTCTCTCTCTCTCTCTCTGTGTGTGTGTGTGATAAAACTGTTGAACTATTTTCAACAAAAAGTAAATTGCTCTAATTACGGGTAAAAAACAGACAACTCTCTATGCAGAACACATTGTCAATTTCAAAACAGTTCCCCACTGTTCAAACGCGAACACAGATGTAATACTATGCTGGCATTCGCAATGAAAACATCTCGTTTAACATTGAAATACAAATTCGATTACACATAATTTAACGCATAGTATTGCGTGCAGCCACAATTACAACAAGTAAACATCTAACTAAATTTCGGATGCGCTTTTCACCGGCGTAGCCTCTGCTGAACGAGGAAGTTCGGTAGTTCGAGAGGTAGATACTGTTTCCGCATGAAATACTAGCAACCCAGATTTAAGCGCTCGCGCTAATAAATCTAATGAGGAATTTATCCGTAATAGGCGCCGAAATAAAACTGTCGTTTACAGCAATAGTACAACATATTGTTAATGCCGAATAATGCATTCGAATCCGATGATAGATATGTATTATTTAATATATCGTGTTACGATGCTTTCAATATCGATCTTTGTAACAAATAGTTTTTATTTTATTGTACATGGTTTAGTAATAACATATCAGAATTTATATATTTATCGTTTGAATAGAATTGAGTATAAAAGTTTGAATACTTAATGACAGAATTGTTTAAAAAGATTACTTTCGACTCCAGCTAGTTAGACATTATCAAATATCAAGAACTATTTTTATCTTGTTCTATCAGTTATTTCGTAAAAATCATTTTCAATGAATTTTCATTTCCCAGAATACAACATTTGAAGTTTATATGTTATATACATTCATATATATAATATATATAGTTTATATATTTATATACATTCATATATATATACAGGGTGCTGCACAATTATTTTAACAGCCGAAAATGAGGGGTAGCTGAGGTCATTTGAAGTAACTTTTTCCTTTGCGAAAATGCGATCTGCGGCTTTGTTTACGAGTTATTAACGGAACACACTGACCAATGAGAGGTGACGGCGCGAAGTTCGAGAGCCCGCAGCACGAGGCTTTGACAGATGGTCGCGGGACGGACTCGAGCCGCGTTCGAAGTATTGAACAAATCACGAAGCGAGAACTTTCCGGATTTTTTTTTACTACGTGATAGTAAACAATCACTACGTGATAGTGACATAAACTTGACATATCAAGGTTATGTCAAGGACATATCAAGGTTATGACAACGACATATCAAGGTTATGTCAAGGACATATTAAGGTTATGTCAAGGTTATGTTAAGGACATATTAAGGTTATGTCAAGGACAAATCAAGGTTATGTCAAGGACATATCAAGGTTATGTCAAGTACATATCAAGGTTATGACAAGGACATATCAAGGATATGTCAAGGTCATCATATGAAATTTTTAAGCAAGATGTACAGTGAAGATAAACAAAGTACGTAAATGATATTTTAATTTAAATAACCTTGACATAACCTTGACATAACCTTGATATGTCCTCGAGATAACCTTGATATGTCCTTGACATAACCTTGATATGTCCTCGAGATAACCTTGATATGTCCTTGACATAACCTTGATATGTCCTTGAGATAACGAAACAACAAAAAGAATTAGCACGTACAATGAACCGCGCTTACGTTGAAACGGTATTTTTTTTTCAGCATCGACGATCATCGCCGACGGATCCATTGTCGCCGGAGAACGAAACGTTGGAGAGGCGGAATCTGAAGAGCATACTGAAAAAACTGTCCGCCGGCAGCCGTACAGGTAGCTCCGACACCTCGGCGACGAGCACTCCGGATCGCGAGGCGGCCACTGCCGAATTGAGGAAATTAATGAGAGCGCAGACCATCGAGGGCTACGCTGCGAGGCATTCGAAACTTTCGAAGAGTGTTACGTTTAACAAGTACACGCTGCAGAGTCCACCGTCCGAGCAGATACCGGGAAATTATCCGCTTGGGTCTCAGTTGCCGGATACCCAAGAGCAGGCCTCACTGCCACCGCCCAATAAACTCAGTTTCCGTCCTTTGGGCAGCGGAGGTATCCTGCAAGTGGTATCCCGACCACGAGAAGAGGAATACATTGGGGAGCTGGTGTCTGGTATCAGAGAAGTCATTAAAGGTCGTCTGGTGAGTTTCTTTTCTCCTATTTCTCGAAGATGGTTTCAGCTAGACATACAGTGGCCCACAAAACTTGGGATTGAATTCAACATAATAACATATATATACATAATAACATAATAACATAATAATATATTTGTTATTATGTTGAATTGAAATATACAGGGTGGGGCATTTTAAACAGGTCACCTGAATAACTCGCTTGTTTTTGAAGATAGGAGAAAATGCATGTTGTTGCGTTTTAAAAGGTGTACAATCACTTTTGTGGGCCATTGTAGATGCCCAGTTATTGGTCCTTTAACGAATAGTATCACATAAACAATGAATTACTAATTCTAATTTAACGAATTTGAGAATGATATCAATATAAATAATTCGGAGAAGGTCTAATAATCGAAAAACATATAAAAGTTATAGAAACAAGTTACAAAATTTACATTAAGAAAATGCTTTAATGGGGACATGACGAAAAGAACACAGTTATTGGCCAGATTGACACAGCAATAGTTCATTAAATTAGCAACGATTGGTCGCTGCTATTAGCAGTATGTATTAATTGCATGATATAAAAGCTACATTTTTAAGTTGTTTAAATGTTTTCACCGATTTGCATTTTATTTATATATATTATTAAATTAAATTAAATTAAATTAAATTGAGTTGAGTTGATTTGAGTTGAATTGAATTGAATTGAATTTGAGTTGAATTTGAATTGAACTTGAATTAAACTTGAATTAAACTTGAATTAAACTTGAATTGAATTTGAATTGAACTGGAATTGAACTTGAATTGAACTTGAATTGTACTGGAATTGTGCTTGAACTGTGCTTGAATATTTATGCATTATGCTCAGAATCTTTATTAAACTTGTTAATTCAAACTGTATTGCAGTTTAAACTATCATTTGCATCACAAATGCATAAACTGAGCAAATCAATAAAATTGAGAACAAATAATGCGTAGAATACTTCAGTCATAAATAAATTATAAATTGCGATACTATTTTTTCATATGTTAAAGCGTGTCATTCTTCAAGGACCCGAAATTTCTGAGATGGTAACGCTTGTGGCGCTATTTTCATACCTCAATTATACATACACTCTTATCACGAAAAATACAATTTGTGCACCCTGCATTGATTCAATATTCTCGTAACTGTAACCTAAAAAATTCCACAGGGTGTCCCAAAAATGTCTCGCAATCCGGAAATGGCGGGTTCCTCGAATCATTTGAAGCAGCTTCTTCCTTTACAAAAATTTTCTGCGAGGCACCGTTAACGAGTTATTAACGAAAAACAGTGACCAATAAGAATCGAGTACGGCTGACGCGAGGCGGCCCAGCCAATCAGCGCACGAAGCCCAGTTCCGCTCATTGGCTCGGTCGCCTCGCGCCAGCCGAGCTCGCCTCTCATTGGTCACTGTTTTTCGTTAATAACTCGTTAACGGTGCCTCGGAGAATATTTTTGCAAAGGAAAAAGTTGCTTCGAACGACCTGAGGAACTCGCCTGTTGTCCGAAAATGTTTCGGATTGCGAGACATTTTTGGGACACCCTGTATATACCTATTATATTGTGTATTCTATTATATTTTATTGAAAAGTTATGGCTGTTTGTTTACAATTTCTTTATACTTTCAAAATTCTAATTTTGCTGTTTGTTTTTGCATCTACAAATTGCACTTTCGTATCTGAAAATTTTATTTTTACTTTTATCTTTTATTTTTATTTTTATCAATATTCTAGATATCAAAATAACATTGCATCATACACTATGATGATTCTATTTGAAAAGAACAATATAGAATTTTAACTAAATCAATTCATTAATATCCACTCGATACATTTTTAGCACCACTTTCAAAACTAATTCGGGGTTCATAATTGTTAATTGTTACGACTTTGTGCATGTGTCTGTGTAGCAGTTTGGAATTACACTGTTGAAATACGAAGCAAGTTGAGTTTTTGACATGATCACATGCAGAAAATATAATTGCGTTTGCAGTCGCGGAGTGACCTGAAAGTTCTGCGTTCGTTACCAAGTGACCAACGCGGCAATGAACGTGAAGAGACCCATGTGCAATGTTCTAACAAAGTTTGCACGTGAAATTTCATATTTGTAGTTACATATAGTGGTAACTTTATTTCAAAAATTTCACATTTCTTTAAACTTTATTTAAAATATTTTACATTTCTTTAAACTTTATTTTCTCATAATCATCAACATTTTCATTGACTGTCGATTAATTTGTTCTCATTCGGTACAATTCACATTGCACTGCCAGATCAATTTTAATTTATTGTACAGTAAATTTGCTATATAATTAAATGAAACACTTCGACCTTAAATTTCCGAATCACCGTTTCTGTACAATCAATGTCCTCTCAGATGCAATAAACAATTAATCCAGCACATTTGTTCCACGCGCAACAGCGACTCGGCAATTGTTCCCTAAAAATTTCGCAGAAGACATTCGGCCGACAATCGTCGCCTTTCCTTGGCGGTGGTAAGAAAAAAAAAAGAAAAAAAGAAAAGACGAACATAGCATGAATGGCACAGGGAAACAGTCAGACCACTTTGGAAGTTGTAAATTTTCGTCTCCGACCCCGAACGTATTCTTCCACTCGAGAATATTACGAAAGTTCGCAAGCAAATTGCGCCGGACACATCCGTCGAAAATGAAACTATGCGTTAATGCACGAAAACTTCGAGTTTATCCGCGGACTTTCTTGAAAACCTGAATTGCTCCCCTCGAGAAGAAAAGTTTGGTCGGTTTCGATGCAAATTCGGTTTTCGGTTGCTGAACGATAGTTACCCCCCTCCCCTCCTCCCCGCAGTATTGTTCTTCCGCGCGTTGTAAAATACGATCCGTCAATAACACCACCGTAACTGCACGCAAACGTCACCGATGCAACGCTGAATTATCACTGCTTTAATTACGTTCGTGTATTAATCCAAATCATTTCGTTAAATATTCGATGAAATCGATGTGTAAGAGAGCTTTCGCAAAAATATTGCATTCAGCAGGACATTTTTTTCGTTGTCCATGTTGAAGAATTAAAAAGGGTTTTAAAGACTGTAGAAAGTTACGATATAAAATATTTTGCACACTTCAGGAAGTAAATAATTATTGTGAAAAGAAACATCACGTTACAGACTTAGTTTCACTCTCTTTAGAAAATATATGTACAATATATACATATACATATATTTACAAATATAATATATTATCATAATATTATATTTTTTATATTATTTTATATTTATTTCATATTGTAATATATTATTATAATATTATATTTTTTATATTATTATATATTATAATATATTATTATTATCATATACTATTATTATAATTATATTTATAAATATAATATATGTAT